TTACGTCAACCTTCTAGTCGGTCGTACTGCGTGGCCAAGTTTATCTGATGACCCCTTAGAGTTGTGTCATGACTGAGTTTCAAAAGATAGAGTCATGTGTGCTAACGTGTTGTTAAGGATATGATACAACATTATGAGATCCATCCATAGACGCCGATAACTTCCGCGGTAGATTTGGAGAGTTTTAAGCCTCACTGGAGTGCTTCTGCCAAGTTTGGAAAGCGTGGATAGCGTATTCCGCGTGCGGCCCCACGTACACGCCAAGCATTGTCGGAAAGACTGATGCGTCAAACTGCCTAAACCCTCTACGAAGAAGGCCGAAATACTGATTTGCTTTATTTGATGCTTTCCCAATCTGTCTCAAGCAACCAAGCTCATCTTGCACCAGCGCGCCAAGATCGCACTTGTGAGAAGGAGAGGCACCGATAAACAGACTAGCGTTGAATTTTTACTGATTCTTCCCAGCTGTTGATCTGATATCAACATATATGATCAACCGAGTTACAACTTGAACGGTTTGGCTCATTTTAGTGCAACTCACATCTCATTTACATTTTTGATCCCTAACAAACTCCAGCCTACCGTGTACTTCACTTGTCGGTTCTTCCTTATTGTGGGTTGGAACAACTTAGCAGCCCGACACAATATAGTACAACATATTACAAAGCAGGTCGGACGTACACGAATGGGTAGACGTTCACAACCTAACAACCTATCTAGCAAGCCAGCGGGTCATCGCCAACTTAGGCAGACAACAAATGCGAACACTGAAAGCCTAGTTTTGCCGCGTTGTCATGTCTAGTTTATCACTATCCTATAGTTGCCGTAAGCAGAACTGCGACTTAGTGCAGTGGTGCATTTACTACCGATATACTGCAGACTAACTGTACACTGTTGTATCAAAAAAACCAAAGTATAACAGGAGTATATCGTGAGAGTTAAACGTAGAAAACAACGTCTCAGAACGAGAAGGAAATCACTTTAGAAGCCAGCTAATCTATCGATCAGCATTGAGCAATGTTCAAAAGTGTGTTAACGTAGGGTGGAGAATTACAACACCGTCCTCCCCCGCTGGGATATTTGCTTCGTGTAAGCTGGTGTCCATCTGGACCTGCTTTGCTCAGCTGACGGTGGAGCTGTCTCCGTTTGACTTACATATCTTGGCTGGGTTAAGAAGCCGATCCAGTTAGTTTGTACAGCCGACTGTCATTGAGAATCAAGATTTTCCGATCGGTACTTGGCAGGCCCACATAGATATGCGATTCACACTGGCGCAGACAGCGCTGGTTGACCCTTTTAAGTACTGCGGTTTTTAGTCCGAACAAAAAATCCCGGCTTCAGTGGAATCGATGATCTGGCGTAGTACTGTTGGTAAGTTGCCATACGGTTCCGAACTTCGGGATCTGTAGAAAAGGCCAAGTTGTGCGCCGTATTAGTTCCACCTGCGTTTTCCTTGTAGTTCTATGTTCACAGGTTGTGCGAAATTGCACCGCCGTTAAGACCTCTCCCTCATAATCTACCCCTCCCAATCGGATGGCTTTGGTCGCCTGCTTGAGTGACCGATTAGTCCGCTAAGTCATGCTATTATCTGCGGGACTGTAGGGTGCACTTGGGGAAGCTGGCACTTTATGATGTTTGATGGATGCTTCGAAATTGTAACTTCAGCATTGTGAACCATTAGCTGTGAACAATTTTCTAACCCGAAACGACCAAACAGTTGTTTTAGCAAGCGCGACACTACGGAAGCGGTTACACATATGTGTTAAAACAATTAGTGACAAGTAAGATTTTCCTGTTCACTGACTCTGTGTCAAAGGGCCCAAAACATCACTGGTAATTTTGGCCCAACGCCTCACCGGGTATGATATCGGTTGTACGGGAACCTCCACAGTTAAAGGAATTTTATCAGGCAAACAGTAAGGCTAACCATTTTTCACAAAAGCTTCAATACTTGATCCCATTCTTGGCCACCAGAACCCATGCCCAACACTATTTTTCGTTCGGACAATACCCGGATGACCCTGATGAGTGCAAGCCATTATGTTGTTAACCAGTGACCATGAAGCTAAAAATACTGGACAACGTATTAGACAACCTTCTACGACTGGAAAATCTCGAATTACGTAGTACGGAACATACCCACAGGAAACTTAGTTGTTCTGCGGCCATACCTTTTGACATCAGGCTCGAGCTGCTGCGGTGTCGCGTCTGGCATTCTTGGTTTGTTTTTCCTTAATCCTCAGCGAAGACAAATCGGTTCCAATTCTAGACATCCATGCCACCTATCTGTGTGCTTATTTTCTATGCTCCCGTTCCAAAGGTAACCGGGATAATTTATCCGTGATTTGATTCTTCCATCCTGGCCGGAACACGATTTAGAAATCGTAGCTGATAAGTATGGTGTACTAAAAACGACTCCACTTCGAGCGTATTGATTTAGATCCAGTTCCGAAGATAGTGGTGAGGGTGTAATGATCAGTTCCCACAACAAAAGCGTGATCAAAGTGATAAACCTGCCATTTCTGGCAACCCCACACGCTAGCGATAGCCTCTTTCTCACCGGCAGAATAATGACGTTCAAAGTCTGATAACTTCGGCGAAGCATAGTGAATGACTATTTCTTCGCCCTTTTATAGTTGTGAAAAGACATCACCGATACCGACATAGCAGTAGTCAGTTGACACAAATGTACCGCAGGATTCGTCAAAGATGACAACTCATGGGGCAGAGGATATGCATCTTTCTAATTCATCGAAGCTATTATTTTGATCAGTACCTCAAACAAAAGGTGACCCCATTTTGTCAATTTCCGTAGTGGCTTTGCTATGGTTGCAAAATCGAGCACGTAGTGTAAGAGTACATGACCAGAACTAACTTCAGTCCCCTTAAGTTACTAGGTATCTGCTAGTCAGCTATGGCACGGATTTTTTCGTTACACGATCAAATGCCCCTGCTCGAAATGATGTGTCCTATAAATTGAATCTCAGGGGTATTAACTAAATACTTTTGCGTGTTCAAAAGCAGGTCAACTTTGCTGAGTCGATGACAGACTTTATGCAAATGATCGTCATGCTCTTCTGGTATTTGGCCGAAGACCCATATATTATCCACGTATACACACTGTCTATTAATAGCTGCCAGGGCGAGTCATCAACTTTTGTGAGGCAGCAGGTGCTGAGCTCAGACCTATTGGTAAAGCTTCGTAGTGAAACAATTCATGAAGGCTAGGAAGGCGATAAGGTATTTTGATTTATTCGCTAAACGCATGCGAAAAACGCACTCCTCTAATCCACTTTAGAGAAAGTTGCACCAGGAAGACGAGTTGTTAGATCATCACAAGAAGGTAGCAGAAATTTCTCGACGACTAGCTGCCTGTTCAGAATTTGTTACACCCGAGTGAATGCAGACACAAGTGTGGAGCAATGCAAGTATATCGTAATACCAATTAATCATGTATGTGCACAAGTATTTGTTGGGTAAACAGGCAGCATGGGCCAACGATCGCGATGAAAGTAATGCCCAAGTCACACACAGACACACATGTATTGGATACACTGTGGTCGGCCAAGGCAACGCATAGCTGACCAACTGAGGATGCATCAACCTTGAAGATCATCGCATGGCCTGACAATGTCGGCTTTCGTCAACTCACTTACCAACGGATACACCCACTCAGAGCAATCTATTGACTCCATTAGATCGTTCGCTAACATTTCCTGCAATACTGCTGCGACAGCTTGTTTTGTGAATGGAATCAGTCGAGGTTAACTAGTGGAAACTGGTTTTACCTCTTGATTCATTTGCATGTGACGAAAGCCACATGAAATATGTCCGATAGACCGTCGAAAAAATATCGGGTAACGGTTTTTTCAGTATGTTACTTCAATGGAAGAAAAGGTCTTGCGATCAAAGAATAACACAACCTTTAACACCACCATTGCGTTCCTCCCAAGCAGAAGTCGCTTGTTATCGGGTGAAACAAATACTGCTACATCCTTAGATATCAGGCCCAAGAAGAGGAGCATGATAAGAAAGCCAAGGATTGTAAACGTATTGCCACTGTAACTCCAGTATGAATGAACCATCGCCTGCAAGGTGTACTCGGACAAATAACGTTTGTAGGATCTGGAGGACACGGTAGTAACAGGCGAAGCGGAATCCAATTCCATATCCAATGTTTTTAGGGAATAAGACAGTTCGAATATCGGCAGAGGGAAGTTTGGATTCAAAAAGTGACATCATCACGTCTCCCAAGTTGCAGGTATCAGCGGTGATTGAGTAGACCTTTCGCTCCGCTGCATCTTTTACGTTGTGCTCGGGAACGGAGTCTGGCTCAACGAATGCGATGCACTGAGGTCGGCATAAGCGACCATAATGTTCAATTTTTTCAGTTTTCCGCAAGTGAGATTGTGGGCTGGACAAGAGGCAAAGTTAGCTTTGTGCACGGTACCACCTCAACTATAATAGGATGGTTTACTGCGTGGTAACGGATGAGGAGGGAATTGGTCGAGTCTTCCATGCCACCGCTGAGCCTTTTTTGCCCCTATCAACAACTTTTAACGTAATAGAATGAAAATATTAGTCAACGGAGGAAACTAAGTGGAAGTGTAACAGTTCACGATATCGTGCATCAGGTTTGTGAAAACCTTCTATGACGGTTACTGTGCAAATCAAGATTGGGTTCACTAAATGGTACCAATTTTGTTGTTAATACCGGCACCGTTAGCCGAACACTGCCTTTTTGTCTCAACTCTAAGGTATCTTACGCTTGTTATTGTTACTTCGACTGTTCCGTGATGGCATATCCGTTAGTGTGGTGTTTGTGTATGGCCGTTTGAGTTTTATAGGTCTTGTAGAACTACATTGGGTTTTACTCTCCTTTGACACGTAGCAAACCTGTCGGCACTCAATCTGAGCTCATAATAGGTGGATATGATGGAAATCTCAATTATGCCTGCCTAAGATGGTTCAATGAATACATTTCAACTCCTCTTTTGTAGGCCCTGTATGCGCTGGGGTCGTTGGACTGAAGATGCCCCGTTATTGCCTTTTCGGAGACACGGTGAACACGGCTAGTCGCATGGAAAGCACCGGTGAAGGTAAACACAAACCTCTGTTGGTTGTTTTGTTATTATCCCCGTACACTGTAGCAAAGTCAGAGCATAACGTATATAATACATCGAGTTTGGCTTCAGCAGCCTTGCACCATACATATATCATTACTTGGATTAAAATGTTTCGCAATATTGCTAGATCGATCAATCGTTCATTTGTTTGCCGAATTAGTCAACTTGTTTGCATGCGTTTCGACAAAACGAGCAGACTTGCTACTTGAATCGTCGATACATGCTGGACCTGCAGGTAAATTTTGTAAGTGACATCTCCGATTTGCGTCCAGTGAATTTTTTCTCGACTGAAGAGGTCGTTGGAGTTGTTATGGTTCAAGCAGGGTCCTGAAATTCTTTCGATTTCTTTTCTCTTAAAGTGATTGGTATACTGAGTCCATATCCATATGCATGTGGATTGAATTCATCGTGAAACAGCATGCTCCTAGGAACTCCCTTTATCTCCTCGTTTCGCCTCGTGCCAGGACCTCACTTTTGGCCCAATCAAACCCGTGTCCTTCGTCCAAGTGCACTGAAACTAGAAACGATCTCTACTATATTTCGAAGGCTCTTTAATGTTCCTGTATCTTTTTAACCGACTTTCTTCCTTTTTGTCCATCATAGTCCTTTTCTCATTTTCTACAATGTTTTTGGACGCGTAACGCCTAACTTTCATATTCAACCTTCGTTGAGAAATTACTGATTCTAGGCAGCTCGCAGCCACAAGTACTTTCGAGTAATAATAATGGGTTGCAGCCGATTACAATATATAGCCACAACCTCTGTGATACAAACACGCGAAGTAAACGATTCATTGAGTAAACAATTCGGATTTCTCCACTATCTATTCACAGATTATTAGCGCTGTGTGCATCACGAGAGCAAAAGATAGAGCAAAAGTTACATGCCGTCCCCATTCTCTGAATTCTGTGGAAGATGATGCAAGTATTCCACAAACATAGTATGTAAGAGCCATGCGCAGCAAGTATGATGGTCACAAGCTGGTCAGTTGATGTTCGCATCGTCCGACAGAGCAATACCCAAATCAGTTATTCTACCAGAAATATCCTGCATGTTCTGTCAGAAGGAAACAGCATCATTACATGGTGGCAACTGGAAAGCGACCAGCCATGGCCCCAAGCCGACTTCTTTCTTGCCTGCATCAATAGCTTCAATCCGACCTAGAATGAGTGTATGGGTAAAGGCAAGTAGATAATTACTTTGGATTGGCGAGAAAAGAACTCAAATAGTTGCTGTGAAAGGGGAAACTTGATCAAATGTGCCAAATGTTGAGTGGTTCTAATTGATGTGAGACATGTAAGGAGCATGTATTTTGCACAACGGAATGTTGCTCGAGGTCCAAACTTTCTGATTCGAGGAGGGTCACTACGACAATCACAAGCTTGTGAAACGGGTTCCCGTGCACTTGTATTTTGATGTAAAGATTCTCCCATTTAGGCTCGGGTGGATCGAGCAGTAACAAAATGATTAGAAACTACTGCCCGCCACTCATTAGAGTCGACAAGTACAAATGATAGCAGACCGTGGTACTCAAGGTTACGAGCAACAACAAACTACTTTACAGATATGTGAATGGTAAAGGAAAGATAAAGCCTGGAATAACACTTCATAAGACGGCCAGTGGCCTAACGACTAGTGCGGTGGATACAGTGAGTACATAACTCCCGCAGTTTGACTCAGTGGTTATACGCATCGGGGAGCCTTCGCCATATCACCTCACAATAAATGTCATCAGCTTACCCAGTGTCGCCTTTAACCCAGCAGTTGGCGTAAGCAAACTATAGTGTCTCCGAAAAATACAATGCCCCGGAAATCTAGAAGAGCTGCAAAATGGTCGCAAAAAAACCCTTGCCTCAACCATAGCAGTACAACTTGAAGTCTTTTACCAGTGTTCACTCACATCTGAGTGGAAAAATAGAGTCACCACACCGATATAAGAAGGTGAGGGATCGGATCCTGTCAACAACTGACCTCTCGTTCCTTCCCGATTTATCAAAAGTGGAGTCGACAATCGCAAATGACCTGATGCGATATTTTGAAAGTCTGCAAATCATTTCTAATTTCCAATAAGCAGACACTGTTGCCTCACAAATATGCTTCTTGCTGTGGAGTTGTGGACAAAGGCGGCTGACGAAGTAGTTCCCGTAGATGTAAGTTGCATTCGATAGAACCAATGATTTTATTTTCCAACAACACTTGGGTGTGCTTACCGTACCAACGGATCCCTGCTCATCAGTTGAAAGGCTACCCATACGAGAGAACAACCAAGGGATAAGAATAGTCGACACTCACTCCGAAAACTTGTGCGTCTCCAGTGGTGTACGGCAAGGATCCGTCCTCGGCCCGCTGCCGTTTTTAGTCTACATGAATGACTTCCCAGTAAAAATTCCATCACCAGTACAAGTATTTAAAGAGGCTGCTAAGGTATGGAGAGCAGTTTGCTCAACGTCCGACAGTGCCTATCTCCAAAAAGATCTGCACCGGATTAAGGAATGGGTAGAAAAAAATACATCCCACTCTACCGTGCACAGTGCCACCTGCTGACGGTGCGTAACATCTTCAGTAGCACATATATTCCGGGACACCACGTTTTGCAACAAGTGCCCAGTGAACATGACTTGGCAACTCGCTCCCATGTTCGAAAGCAGTAAATGGGGCGAACTCGAACTTAAGGCCTTCGAGGCGAGCTCTTGGCACCTTTGGGTGACAACTAGTACTATTGCTGATTAACTCGTATATTCGTTCCCACTTTAAATACGCAGTGCACGCCTGGCGTCCATGGTTACATCGAGACGTTCGCCTCTTAGAGCGGTCCCAAAGAAGAGTCACTGGGGCAGCACCTGAACTCTCTGGTTTCAGTTACCAACTGCGCCTTCACTTACTCAGTGTGTTCCCCTCAGAATACCGAAGGCTTCGCGGAGACTTCATACTAACTTACCGGATAATAACTGGGAGCGAGCACCACTATGCATCACTGCGATCCTAGCCACTTACAAACTATGCCGAGGCCACGACATGAAACTATTCACGCAACACTCCAGTTTTGGTTTCAGAAAGCATTTTACTCACTTGGAATCTGTTCCGACTGGAATGTTCTACTAACACGGAACTGGAACACTTTGCGTTGATTTAGATTTGTTATTCTCTGTGTGTTTTAAAGCTTTTGCTTTCTTCTTATCTACTTAGTTAAACTATTGAACTTTGTCACATACATGCGTCATCTTGTGAACCTGGGAATGAAGCTGACGGCAGGATCAAGCTTGAAACTGGCAGTAAAGTAACGCTATTCATTCTCAAAACCTAGCACTTTGTGTTCTAATCTCAAATGGACAAACTCAACTACCGTCACTGTCCATGGGTCCTTAGTCATCAAGAAAATTTTCACTGAGCGCTGTCGATGAAATGAGGTTGTTTCAACAGACCAATGATTGGACTATATCTGTGTGAATCTTGTGGAGATAATTCTCATGTGTATCTTCTATGGCGCTAGAAGTGAGATGAGGCAATATATAATATATAAAGCTCGTCCAAGTAGAGATACACGCTTCTGACAATTTTACTAGCCTGTAGGTTTGTTTTGAGCGTCAAAGAAAACACAAATACATTTTTTCATGCAACCAATTTTCTTTAAGAACATTGCGAATGCAAGAAGAATATATATTTCTGTTGGCGCTATATCCTGAATTCGGTGTATTTCAATGGAACAATGGTTTTATACAGGTAAAAATGATAATGCTTAGGAGGTCCCTTAGGATTGTTATGGTGAAACTGCAAAATATAAAATGTTGTTAACAAAAGTGGCTTTACACCGGTGAACTCATTGAACTATACGTAGTGTAGGTAAATCTATAAGGAATAATGGCAAATAGCATGCAGGTAAAATTCGTGTCTCCTTCTGGTATACACATACAGAAGGTCAAAAAAGGTGGAACGAAAGCTGGGATTTGACCGCCAGTGAAATTTCTTACAGACACTTCTTTTTATCCATGGGTAATGGGGCATGTAAGCTTGTGCAGCGAAATAAGTGCACAATCAAACCGGGCATTGAACTCTGCCAGCGTGGGATCACAAATGACAGATTCCGGCAGGGTATTCCACCTTAAGCAAAGCCTACTAAAAGGAAAATCCGACGGTATTCCAAACGACTGTGTTGCTCTGCCAATTTGAGATGGCGGCCACTCAAATTGTTGTTGTGACTGAGCCCTAGCAAGTAATGTCACCTGTGGTTCGGATCTATCAAAATCTCGTAAGTCAAAAGAAGTTCTCCGCGCAATCGCCAATACTGTCCGCTGAAGACCTCGGGCATTCGCAGCCTTCGTACATACGGCAAACTATACAGACCCTTGATATTTTTGTCTGCCCTGCATTAGGTTATCTCCAAGGCGGTGTGATCTCTCCTTGGTCATTGCTGCCGGACCTGTGCTGCATATTCCACATGTGGGCGTAGGTCTGAGCCGAGAAGTTGTGGAAAAATCGAATGGTCGAATCACGCGAATGCACGCTTCAGGTTACCGACGTGTTGGAAGCCCTGCCTAGACGCCGTTTCATATAGATTTAAACATCCAAGGTCAACCTGGACTATAACTCACAGATCCTACTGACCAGAAGACATTTGAAGCTCATGGTTTCAGAGTTTATAAGAGTGCACTAGTTTGTGCCGCATATGCAGCACTCTACGTTTTCCAAATTACACTGAAGATGACTCTATATTAACTACGATTATACTTACTCCAGATCAACTGGAATTACTGTGATATCATCTGGTCTACCGATCGCCCTCCACACCTTGATGTAATCGACATAAATTACGCAATTCTAGATTATGAGGTGTGTGATATCGCTAATAAACGTCAGAAATAATGGCAGTCCTAGCACCGATGCCTGTGGTACATCGCATTCAATTCAGATGGGACATGACCGTGGTTCACGCACACGTATTTCCAGGTTCTGGTGTAGAAGAAAGCCTTTGATCT